AGTACTGTCTAATTTTGCTTGCTTCGCTGTCAGTCGAACAAACGAAGACTAAAGCGTGAATGACGCTCTGTATACAATTTTAACGCCCTATAAGTTCGGACACTTTTTAGCGCGGACCCGAGGTCCATATAATTGTAAGTCAATGATGTTAATACACTTATTGACGCTTAATCGGCTTGAGCTGGTCAGAAAAAAACTTTATGTCCATCAAATAAGAGTGACATTACGCTTATTGCTTCCGTTCATAGTGCTACACAAAACGTATATAGAATACCAGTGCGTTTTCTCCTGGTGTTTTAAGCGTTCTCTCCGGACACATTCCATTGAGTAAGTTTGCGCATATGACGGAGAAAAGAGAGTCACCAAATTGTGCTGTATATGACTTGAACGAGGACGTACATCATATACTGATGGAGTGTGAACGAAACGATTCTCTTAGATTTGACGTAGCTGCTATGTGTGACCAATTTAGGCAACAGCGTCTTGGCCTTTCCTTTACGAAGGTAGAAGAAGAAGAAGAAGAAGAAGAAGAAGATACTATTAAGATAGGCGGAGAATGGCTTGAAGCTAATGCAACTATATCCTGCTTCAATTCTCTTTCTACTTTGTTATGTAATTATATATAGAGCGGCGTAGTGTCGTGTTTTGTGACAAAGCTCTTTAAATAAAGAAAAAACAATGCGTTCCTAGTGTGTTGCTCCAGTTGAGTAACAATCACTTTGGGCTCTACGGCCGTTTTGTTGTAACGCCTTGCATATTTTTGTGTTTGTCACATTTTGTGTCTGTAACACAAGCAAAAATAAAAAATAATAATTTCTTCTTTTGATGCTTATATTTTATTTGTAAGGTGTTACTTTTCTGGACTATTGTTTTTAATTTTTTTTTTTATGTATTGCATGTGTGCGTTTTGTGATAAATAAACCGTTAAATGGTAGATAAATTTTAATTTTTTTGAGTGTGTGCGTTATTATTTTCCTATATTTTCACTTCTATCCCATGGACATATAGTTTTTTTCTGATCAGCTTACTGGGTCAAGAAAATCTGCAGGATGATGTAGATATGGAGAGGGAGCGCAGAGCGTTGGCCGTACGTTGTAATATGTTGTCACGCAGGTTTGCGCGTTGTGAGGGTAATGTCAAAGCCACCCTTTTCAGGGCGTTTTGTCAGACCTTCTATACGTGCAGCCTGTGGACAAATTACACTAAAGCGACGGTCAATGCCCTGCGTGTCCAATACAATAATGGTCTTAGGATACTGTTGGGGCTGCCACGATTTTGCAGCGCATCAGGTATGTTCGCGGACGCGCGTATTGATAGCTTCAGCGCGATTATTCGGAAAAGAACTGCCTCCCTGATGCGTCGCGTGTGTGGCAGTTCCAATAGCCTAGTTCGTTTGATAGGGGGAAAACGTGTCAGTGAATGTGGAAGCACTGGAACTCAGTCCACATGGGTTCCAGGGGTTTAATTTATAAGTTACTGTAACATTTCGCAAATTTAGTAATTAACACTAATATGGACTATGTCTGAAATAAACTTTTTGAATTTTGAATTGAATTAATGCGATTATATGTTGATAAGTGTGAGATAGAGTAAAACTCCTCAAGCTATATAACTTAAGCGTGGACGAAAGAAGCCTCTTCGCATGAAGTACAAATCCATTCCAGTACTTCTGGCGCACCCTGTGTAGCAATCGGCCATCAATTGCAGTTAATGCGCGAAACAACTTCATGCAGTCGAGGTCTCGGATAACAACTTCACACTTAACTGCATGACTACCGAGATCGACTCTGTTAATACGTGAAGTCGTTATCAACTTCCTTCCTTCCTCCTTTCCTATCCTTTTACCATGATGGCAAGCTTTTAGTGTATGCCATCGATGGTATAAGAAAATGTTTTGACTCTTTATGCCATAAACGCAAAATGCTAAATGGGCAGAATGCTAGATTCTCAAAATGCCCGATTATCTTAATGCCAAATTCTCAAAACGCCATATGATACTTTCAAGAAGCGCTCCACTTTGACTCGAGCAAATGCGAAATTAAGACCAAGAAGCCTGACGCGGAGAGTAAACAAATAAAGCGATGGTACAAAACATAAAATTACCCAACCTTGATGTGATGAGATTCTCATAAAAACTGCCGACTATCAGTACGTAATACAGGAAAGACGTAATCAGAAACATAAACATATTCCTTGGAACTCGTGTGAGTGAGAGAGATTTGGGACAGACGATATCCACAGATACCTACTTTACGTTTGATCCAGGTTTCATGTAAAAAAAGACATTAAGTGTTATTGCAGAACAGTAAATAGTGTATAAGTAGTGAGGATTAGGTCTTTCTCCTCCTGACGCATGAACTAATGTCCAGTAGTGGACGTCATTCGGCTGGAATAACGATGATAATGAAGCGAGGTATCTGATATTTGATTAATTTATTAAAAACAAAAATGTAGTTTCCTCTAACTACTAAAGAGCTTCAATTAGGTATTACTAGAATTTTAATAACTGGCATTTTGCGAAATTGGTATTTTACGAATTTGGCATTCTGACATTCTGCCCGTTTGGCATTTTGCGCTTCTGACATAAAGCTTCTATGCCACCGTGGTCAAAATAAAATTGTGAATTGAGCTGTGTGACTTTTCAGTTAAAATTTATAGTTACGTACTTTTGAGACAAAGGGAGTTTATAATAATAATATTCTATAAAGTTTTTAGGTAAATGTAACAGTTGCAATTAAAGTACAATCGGTTTAAGTACAGAAACGACTGAAAAATCTTACTGATGCTGTACTCTATCCTCGAATGGCGACAATCTCAAATATTTATTTATCCAAAATTACCATATATTAACTCACTAATGCAAGTTCGCTGTAGGACTTGGAAGTTGATCAGGTCTGACATCAGTTTCACCAATTTCTGCATCATTGTGGTGGCCGCTTCGGTATCATTTTCGTTGGAACGAACTGGGAACATAATGCGATTTTTAACATCTTTGGTACATGACAAATACACGGACAAACATAAACGCAAATCCTAAAAGCTATAAAAAACGACTCTTGGAGACAACTAAGCGTAAGCTATGCCAATAACTATGCAAAAATGCATGAACTTTTTCTCAATGAAACTTACGAGACTGAGATGTAGTTGCTCACTATGGGTTTCATAGGGAGGCTCAAGGTTACTCGAAGGGCAATGGAAAGACCTATGTTCGGAGTTTTGTTGCGAGATCGAATCACTAATGAGGATATCCTCAAAGGAACCAGAGTAACCGGCATAGCCTAAAGAATTGCAAAACTTAAGTGCAGTGGGCAGGGCACATTACTCGCAGAACAGATGACCGATGAGGCCGAAGGTTTTCGAGAGGCTAGATCGTTGTGGCATTCTTTGGGGGAGGCCTATATATCATCATGCTTCAAAAGCGCAACTTTAGACAACATTTTTAATTCTATTTTTTATATTCATATTCTTTATTGTACAAAGACACACGTTACAATGGACATATACAAAGGTGAGGTTATCTCTATAAAAAAAAAAAAGGTTATCTCTATAAGAGATCTCTTCCAGCCAACCCTAGTGATGAAGTCTGCGGGACTAATTATTGTACAAAATTTAAATTTAAATGTGAATAAAATATAAATGATAATAATATACATACGACAGACATACACACATACATGAACTTTATATACATAAATACACACATAAGCAGAATATATATTATAATAACAGATTATTTGTTTACAAATATGTTACCTATAAACTATCTAACGCGTTCGACAGGAAGTGCTCTTTTAATTTGTGTTTGAAAGATGCCACCGATGGACTGTCACTAATGCTAGCAGGTAGTTTATTCCACATACGAGCTGCACTTACGGTAAAAGAATTGTGAAAGAATTTGGAGTTGGATTGGGGATATAAGTGTTCTAGTGTCACAGGTACGTTTTGAGCGGTAATTGGGGGATAAGGGGGAAAAACGGGAACACAGATAATGAGGAAACTGAGGGTAATTTAAAATTTTATGAAGAAGACAAAGAACGTTCCTGTTCCTTTTATTTTTTATTTGAGTTGCACCTTTGAGGTCTTAATACATATTATATACTACATGTGTAATGCGGAGTCCTTTATTTATTACCATCATTAATTCATTAAAAATAAATTGGGGTCAGGAGGACATCATGCGGGACTTGATTTTCATTGTGCGGGTAACTAAGGATTAAACAGCAGATTAAATGGAAATCACAGTCACAGAATAACTTCTTTAATGTATTTTGTGTTGCGTATCTTCACGAGATCAAATTTAACAGTTAAGTTTAAACGCCATTACTTTGTTATTTCAATGGCTACGACTTTCCTTTTTACACAGTAAGCGGCCAGTTGTACACGAGGCGAAAGATTTCGCGCGGCCATCGCCCAGTTATCACACCTTCATGTACGTTAATGGCGAATCTGAATTGTGTTACTAGGCAACAACATTTAAATCCCTCTCAATAATACAAACGCGCGGCCGTCGCGCGGGGCACCGCGTAAACCCACTTCAAGCCAGACTCGTCCGCGTTTAAGTTAAAACGTAAAAGCTGAGTAAATAGAGCGTGTTTTGCCATGATAGATGCACGCGGGCGCTGCGCGGTGGCAACGTGGACTCCTCGCCGTGTGACCGCGATGACATTCGTGTCAAATAAATGCGCCCTGAGCATTGACTTACAAATAAATGGACGACGGGTCTAATGCAAAAACCACGAAAAAAATGTCCCAAGTCAACCTCTTTAAACGTAGTGACATGTAAAGGAATATGAAAAAGCTAAAACGTTGAATTTAAATTGTAATGTCATTGCAGTACTGTCTAATTTTGCTTGCTTCGCTGTCAGTCGAACAAACGAAGACTAAAGCGTGAATGACGCTCTGTATACGATTTTAACGCCCTATAAGTTCGGACACTTTTTAGCGCGGACCCGACGTCCATATAATTGTAAGTCAATGGCCCTGAGGGTTAATTTAACTTATTTACGGACTGATAATAATAGATTCCAGTAAATTTAGCCTGATTTACATTTGGTTGTCACGACGTTTACGCGGATTTGGTTTGGCCACTAACTTACGGAAATGGCAACTTCATAACGGATGCTAGCTACGCATAATTACATTATCCCCGACGACTGTCAAGTATGATCACTTGTGGTTTTATTATACCAAGAGCAGGAATTTACAATTTTGACGGAAAATATTATTTAAAAATTTAACGCGAGGATAGCGGTTGGGACACACAGTTACATGCAATGTATGTCTGAAAAAGTGTACAACGTGAGAAGTGTTTTCGTTTCAACACGAGAGAGCAACGAGAAAACTCACCAACAATGTTTCTAGTCATCTGTATCGCTTGAGAAGCCTGTCGACAGACTTCCTTCATGTGACTAATTGGTGATGGGAAGTTTAAGTAGCTAGGCACCTGCATCACGGAATACAGATATAAATGTATAAGTAGAAACTTCTCATGGCCTGGTATATAATGTCATTAAGTCTGAGTACATGATCTTTGGAGCCGCAGGCAAGCATAGTCCTACGTGTGCACATCCTCTACTACTTAAAAACGGTTAGCGACTTTAAATACCTGAGACACTATGTTACTGACGGCTTTAAGGATGACATGAATATGCAGCGCAAGATGAGAACACTACCGGTGAGAGCGGACATGCTCGCCCGCAGGTTCCTCATGCTGCAGTGAAGGTAACGCTCTTTCGGGCGTACTGCACACCACTGTTCGCTGGCGAACTGTAGACGAGCTACACTCAGCGCTTGCTGGATGCTTTGAACGCCTTTAGGACGCTGTTAGGGCTGTCACGTTCAGCCATGTTTACTAACACGCGAGTGCATAGTTTCATGGTTGTTATCCGTAAGAACTCGGCGTCGCTACTGAACTGAATACGTGTCAGCCCCAATAGTCTCCTTAAGAGAATTGGTGGAAGGATTGACAACCCAGTGATGCGGCAGTTAATACAGACTACAACGTCTCTTATAGAATTTAAGTACTAACATAGTTTTAAGGCCGTACCTACTAATATTATTATAATTGGATCGTTGTTCTCTGGATGAAATAAATAAATCAAATAAATTTAAAAACTTTCGCCATATTTTCTTGTTCAAAATACCACAGTGTCTCCTGACAAAAGTCTTCGATCAGTGTATGTTGCCAATGATGACTTACGGCACTGAGATGTGGTCGCCCACTATGGGCCTCATAAGAAGGCTCAAGGCGACTCAAAGGCAATAGAAAGAGCTGTACTCGGAGTTCCGTTGCGAGATCAAATCAGTAATGAGGACATCGGCAAAGGACACAAGAGTAACCGACATAGCCCTGAGATTTGCAAAATTTAAGTGTCAATGGGCAGGGCACATTGCTCGCAGAACAGATGGCCGATGGGGCCGAAGAGTTCTCGAGTGGCGACCGCGTACCGGTAGACGCGGAAAGGTGGACTGACGATCTGGTGAAAGCTGCGGGAATCCGCTGGATGAAAGCGATGCAGGACAGATCGTTATGGCATTATTTGGGCCAATGTTAAGCAGTGGACATCTTTTGGCTGAAATGGTGGTGATGATAAGTTTTAAATGCTTATAAGACTTAACACAACGATATAACGGTGACGTGCACGAAAGCAGCCTCTCTTTTCCTGTCTTGTACATCTGACGTAACCTGGGCAACAATCGGCGCGTACCTTACGCTGATTGGTCCTTTCGTTCACTTCTAATCCTTTCACTGCGATAACAAGCATTGCAGCGTACATACACTATTGATACGATAAGATAAAGAACGGTACAACATAAATGCAGTACTTTGGCAATGTAAACAAAAACAGAAGAGCAATGTTAATAGGAGAATGGTTTGAAATCACTGTGGTATTTAGTAACATATCTCGCTAACTAATGAAGGAAAATTCCGCGAAGAAGGTTTAGAAATGTGCCAATACCCGTGACCCACATTGCATCAGCGTGAGATTAGGAATTGATGGTGAACAATGATGTGGAGGCAATGAAGAAACATGGAGTCCAACAATTTTCATACCTGTTTCCCAATAGCGGCACTTCCTCGCTTGTAGATCTTATGAGGTCTAACACCAGGTCTTGCGAAAGAACTGAAAATCATAGTTGTGTTACTGTTATGATTATAGAAAGTTAAAAGAGCCCGGTACTGTGGAAGATTTGCCCAAGGCTTTAGTACAACTACAACAGCGGTGGTAAGCTTAGGGAAGAACCAATGCTTCTCAATGCAGATCAGATCATTTACATATATGTTTCTGGTGGCATCTGTTTAGTAGCAATGCAAAGATTACATAAAGTGAAAGTACGTCGAAGAGGGTTCTTAGGAAAATTTGCGAAGTCCCCAATCCTCACTGGGCCATGCCAGACTCTAATTGAAAGGAGACCAGCAATGGGAAGTATATAGAGTAAAGGACGCTGAGATAAATGTTTAAATTCGTCTCTTACGAATTTTGAATAATTTTGAAATTTAAAATTTTGAAACTGTGTAAATAACTGTTTTCCTCATTGACTTACAATTATATGGACGTCGGGTCCGCGCTAAAAAGTGTCCGAACTTATAGGGCGTTAAAATCGTATAAAGAGCGTCATTCACGCTTTAGTCTTCGTTTGTTCGACTGACAATGACATTACAATTTAAATTCAACGTTTTAGCTTTTTCATATTCCTTTACATGTCACTACGTTTAAATATGTTGACTTGGGACATTTTTTTCGTGGTTTTTGTATTAGACCCGTCGTCCATTTATTTGTAAGTCAATGGTTTTCCTTTATAATTTTTACGTAACGTTAGACCATTGTTGACCGTGAATCCATTTGTAGCTACAGCTGAAAGAGATTCTTTTGCGTATGCCACATTCGCTCACATTGCTGAATGTCTATTTGTTATTTAACATGTTTGCCCCAATGTATTTTTTGTTTTATTTCATAGTTTTTTTTTATATATTTTCAAGTTTTGGTTGTTGTATATGCATTCTATTCTATAGCCAGTCTCTATGCAATACATTCAAAATTCTTACTCAGATTTGTCCATGTCTTTACTGTTCCCAGAGAGCTTGTCCAATTCATCTCTTGAAACTTTTTTTATTGAATGTGCCAATCTCTTTACTTTATCCTGTATCCAGGTCCCTGATTTTCTCACTAAGTCATTACCGTGTCTTTCTCTCAGGGTTTTTTCTGAAATGGAAATAAAATTACCTTTTTGGACGCTTTCTTTTTTGATAGATATAATCTTTATTCACCACCATGACAAATACATACACATTCACATGATACAGACATTAACTTAGATGTAACACTGCAATATACAGGATGTCCGGTAAAGAATGGATAAGCCTGAAATGCCTTATAGTTGAGCTTATAAACGTTCAAAAAATATATAAAGAAAAATATATCCCTAAGATATATATTTTTTCTTTCAATTTAATTATTTTCACCTTATTTTACGTTTTCGTACACCATGACTACAAGTTAATCAATTCCTTCGGTTTTTTGGAGTCATAATATTCTACATTAACTGTGCTAATAGATAGGTAGTATATAGTATGACTAACTATGGCACTTAAATTTTTAAAAAAGTTTTATTTTATTTTTCAGTGCAAAATTTATTTTTCACAAAGTTTAAGCATCTATGATATACAAAAAAAATATGATAACCTGAGTGGCCAACTATTCTAAAATAATGTGTGCTTAAATTAGATATCAAAATGGTATAATTCATTAATGTATCTAATATAAAAAGAAAATTATTGCTATTAATGTGCAAAAGGAGTAAATTTGACTAAAAACTTAGTTTTCAAAATTGGACCACTTTTTGTCCTGAATTGAGCTTGACCATTGAGGTTCAATAAAAACAATTAGAAATAAATACAACTTTATTTACAATTTGTTTACAGCAAATGTTCAAACTGTTTGCCACCGACTCTGATGCAGGCTCTACATCTTCAAATAAAAGCCCTTTTGAGTAGCCGCTTATATCGTAGTTCACTTATTGTTGCAGCGGATGCACTGGCACGGCCATGTAAGTCTTGCAAAGACCTGATCGGCTTGATATACACAATTTCTTTAAGGCAGCCCCAATAAAAAAAAATCCAGTGGATTTAGGTCCGGTGAACGCGGAGACCATAAAATTGGCCCCAGACGGCCGATCCATCAGTCCGGGTACGTTCTATTCAAATATGCTCGAACAGGGATCGCATAGTGCGCAGGACAGCCGTTATTTTGTAACCAATGGGATTCCCTCAGCTCCTTGGGCACATCCTCCATTAAATTAGGCTGATCATTCTGGAGGAACTCCAAATAACTTTGACCAGTTAGGTTCGCCGGTAGTTCAAATGGCCCTATTACTTTTTCATTGAATGTTCCCGTCCAATAATTTATTTTAAACTGGTACTGTGATCGGTCTTCCCGCATTAGATGGGGGTTTTGAAGTTCCCAGCTATGGAGATTACGTGGATTTAAATAGCCATCTCTTTTAAGGGTTGATTCATCGCTCCAAAGAATATTATTAAAAAATTGCGGGTCTTCTTCTATCTTACCTAGCATTTGTCGGCAAAAACATAATCTTGAAGTGTAATCTCTCAGTTGAAGAGTTTGCACGCGTGTAACGTGGTAGGGATGGAATTTATTTTTCCTTAAAATATCATGCACAGTCGATTTTCCTATTCCCGTGAGTCGTGCTATTTCCTCAAGCACTATCTCTTCGTTGTCACCATGAGGTATTCTTCCAGTGCTAGTACCACCAACACCACTACTAGGCATTCTTCCTTCTGAGCAACATGCATGGACTCTCATGAGCATGCGGTAATCTGGGTGACGAGCATTAGAGTATCTTTCCCTATAAAGAGTTGCAGCTGCATTTGCGCTGATTCCCCATTCCTCGCACTAATTCCCTGAAAACGTTTGCTAGCCGACACTGACCCTCCTTATCTCATATAAAACAAAAGACGAGTGGTGCGGCGACCGCGCAGGTAACAAATAACTGTCACACGTGGTATATTCACGGGTGGTACATTCATGGTATATTAACAATGTAAAAGTTGTTTAGATTTGATTTATGCATTCTTATGCTGTAAACAATTTGTAAATAAAGTTGTATTTATCTCTAATATTGTTTTTTTTATTAAACCTCAATGGTCAAGCTCAATTCAGGACAAAAAGTGGTCCAATTTTGAAAACTTAGTTTTTAGTCAAATCTACTCCTTTTGCACATTAATAGCAATAATTTTCTATTTATATTAGATACAATAATGAATTATACCATTTTGAAATCTACTTTAAACACACATTATTTTAGAATAGTTGGCCACTCAGGTTATCGTAAATTTTTTTTATGTCAAAGATGCTTAAACTTTGTGAAAAAAAAATTTCGCACTGTAAAATAAAATATAACTTTTTTTAAATTTAAGTGCCATAGTTAGTCATACTATTTACTACCTATCTATTAGCACAGTTAATGTAGTATATTATGACAAATTTAAAGATAAAAAAATCTTACGAACTTCATGGGATATATTTTTCTTTATATATTTTTTTTGAACGTTCACAAGGTTACTATAAGGCATTTCAGGTTTATCCACTCTTTACCGAACACCCTGTATTTTACTAATATTCCCCTTGGAAATCAAGGCAGTGAAAAGGCGATGACTCAGCATAAACATCGCGGTTGCTATAACCCTGGTATTCTGACAGGACCCTATAGGACAGAGACGCTACTTGTAAAACTCAAAACTCAAATCAATGTAATTCAATTACATTTTTAATTTTAACAGCTTAATAAGATTGCATTAAACAATTAACTCGTTTTTGTCTACAGTGAGTATAGTTCTCACGCCTAAGCAACGCTGTGAACTTGATTGATAATGAAGATAAGACACTTACCTAACGGATCTTCAACTCCGTATTCGTCATCGTAGAGATCGTTCCAGAAAAGATGAGTATTCTCCGATGCGCTTCGTTTAACGACAGTTTTGTTTTGTTTAATAAGTTTCAATTCGCCCTGCGTTTCCGTATTGGCGTCTTCTTTTGTGTTGTTTGGCGACGCTGTTGATTTTGTTACATTACGTGTCACGGTTATGTGATCTGTATATAGATATATTTAATACTTTATTAATTAAGCCACTATACACCAAATTCCCTCCATTATTTTTCCGTGTGGTGTGGAAAATCTGGTGGGTTTTTAACATTGTTACACAGGTTCTAGAATTACCGTGTATATAAAATTGAATTAACCTAGAAGACTGTGTTTCTAGAATGACCGCAGAAGAACTATAATCAAGCCAAATTCAGCGTAGAATAAATAACAACAAACATTTTGAAGGTTCTCCCCTTACAGTTTTTACAGACTATTTTATAGTTACCACAACTTCACTACGTTTTCCCTAAACTTCGATTGGGCTATAGATAATAAAGTGTGAATAAAGTTATTATTATTATTAATAGTTATATTTACTAATAATAATAAGCGGCGTGAAATTGCGATGAGCGGAAGAAGATAGAATTTACAAATAAACTATTTGTAGCACAAAAAAAATGTGTACGAGCAATGTGTGGCTTAGGACCCCGCGAAACGTGTAAACCTTTGTTTAAAACTCTCAATATTCTACCGCTGCCATTTTTGTATATTTTTACATGTACATTTTATGTATTTTTATTTTTTGTACATTTTACATGTACATGTACATTTTTGAAGTGTCTATGTTTGTAAAAAACAATTATAAACTTTTCAAAAGGACACGAGACCTTCATTCAATAAATGTAAGGCATCCAGACAAATTAATTAATCACAGTAATACCAAATTAACTTACTACCTGAGACAATCTGGAGCTATGTGTGTGAAAATATATAATGCTTTACCCTCTGACATAAAAGATGTAAATAATAATCATTTATTTAAACGTAAGCTCATGTCATGGTTGAGAGATAAAAGATTCTACTCCCTTAATGACTTTTTTTCATACAAAGATTTTCAAATTTGACAATATAATTGATTGACATAAAATTGACATTAATTCATTATGTATAATTTTTAAATTTTGATTATTATCATTGTTATTACTTTTAACTTGACATGACATGAATTTACTAGTACTTATGACATTTATAAATTAATAACTTTTTTTATATTACTTTAAACTATTAGATTTGCTTTGAATTATATACAATTTCTAGAATTTTATAAAATTTAATATTTGCATGCCGATTTCGGTTAAATATGAGAACTGTTACTCTATAAAATACCATCTTATGTAAACCATATTTTGAGCAAATAAATATAATTCATTCATTCATTCATTCATTCATTCAAATGGATTAGTAACAGTTGATGAATTAATGAAAACCTTACCTGTCACGATGTCAGTACTCGTTTCGCCCATAGCTTCTGTTTCACGTTTTTCAGATTTGCTGTCATCCTTCACATACATGAGTACTCTAGATCCATGTCTGATATTATCAATCATATCTGAGTCGTACATGGAATAGACTATATTTTGCGTGGAATTTGACTTTGGAGTTACTGTTTTGTTAAACTTGAGATGTGCTCTGAAATACAAATACAGTTTTTAAAATTAGGCAACAATTTAATCACATCCTCATTAAATGTGCCAAAACTGGTGATCCAAAAGTTTATCTGTTGGCTCTGGATGAGAAGGGAATGAATTTTTCGAATTTAGTTTTGGTCTTGAGTGTTCCGAGTGTGAATTCCGTTGCTTTGGTAAGCATCACGGAACGTTCTAGTTGAAGTCAGGTAAATAATGTTGAAGCTGTAGTCAAGGATAAAAAATTTAATGAATAACAGATCCGAGGACATATGACTTCAGTGACGTCGATTATATTAATAAAAGACTGGGAAATTTGAGAACTCAGATGTGTGTCTTTCCTGATTGTATTGACATGTTATATTTATTTATCCATCGGCCCACATGCAGACTCTCTCATATTTCATCTTTAAAATTAAAAACACCGTTGAGAATTTTGTATATCTGAAACCATTAAATGATTCAAAATTATCGACTCCTTTATGGCTAATGAAACTTAGAATTTTGATAGAAAACAGTTATTCGCATAGTTTTCGATCTCATCAATATTGACAATATTACTACGGCCATTAATATTATAACGTGTGACATATTGAGCCCCAACCAACGTAATGTGCAAAAAATAATAAAGTTTGAACCCAGAAATGGGGTCACAAGTATTTTTTTATATAATAATCAAGTGACGGGACGAACAAGTCGTGCGCCTGATGGTAAGGGACACGCCTGTCCATAACAATTGTAGTACTACTCAGAGCTTAATCGCAAGGATCTGAGGGGACTGCGCCTGTCACCATGTGTCAAGTCCCATGTGTCTTCTTTATTCAAATGTAAGTGTGCATTTGACCTCCATCTCACCTAATGGAAAGTGACGATGAGGTCGACAATGGAGCATGCACACCTAAATAATGCCTATTCACTCTCGCCTTGAAAAGGTCCAAGTTATAATGTTCAGGGAACAAGTCTGTAGGCAGGGAATTCCACTCCATAGCCGTTCGCCATATAAATGTGGAAGCGTAACGCTTCGTGCAAACCTTTGGAATATCCACAACATAGGGGTGCAAGCCAAGCCTACGCCTAATCCCCCGGTGATGGAAAGGGGAAGGCGGAATTAAATTGTGTAATTCCGTCGCACACTCTCCGTGATATATCCTGTAGAATACCGATAAGCAGGCAACTTTACGGCGGTGTTCATGGCCTGCAGTTTCGCCTCTACTAATTCCGAGTCACCTATAAGCCTCTTGGCGCGTTTATCAATTGAATCCAAGATGGCCAGTTGGTACGTATCAGAGCCATCCCAAAGGTGGCAGCAATACTCCATACACGGCCGGACTTGTGCTTGATACAGCTGAAGCAACTGTCCCGGTGTGAAGTAACGCCTCACTCTGGAAAGGATGCCAAGCTTTCTGGCTGCATTTTTGGCTATAGATTCAATGTATCTGCCGAAGTTCAGGTTGCACGACAGGTCCATTCCAAGTAGCTGGAAACGGTCGGCTATCGGTATGGATATATCACGAAAAGTCGGAGTCAGCTCAAAGGGACTCCGTTTTGTGGAGAATAGACACGCCTGCGTTTTGGTAGCATTAAATTTGACAAGATTGGCATCGCCTCAATCGGAGACTGCCTTGAATTTCAAATCCAAACGGCTAACCATAGACTCTCGACAAGAATGGATTTACTCTCCACTGACACTTGGTCATTGGTCAAGTACCTATCTACAACTGTGCTGTCATCAGCATACGCATAGGTACCTGGAATTAACATATAATTGATATGCAGCAGAATGAGTGTTGCAGACGGTACGGAACCTTGAGGATCTATCGTCCGATGTTTGGAAGAGTAGCTTTCTATGTCCACTCAAATGGAACGTTCAGTCAAGAAATCCGAGATCCAATAGCAAAGGTGAGTCAGTGGGAAGCCCATAACATAGAAGCTTACTTAAAAGGCTTGCATGCCAAACCCTGTCAAAGGCTTTAAAAATGTTCAAAAACACTGCAAGTATTTCGCCTTGCTTATAACCTCGCTCCATATGTGAAAGACATACACGAAGATCCCCAGTAGATCGCCCTCGTCGAAATCCGTACAAGCGATTACTAAGGAGGTCATTGTATTCAAGGTATGACAGGAGACGGTTGTTGAGTACACGTTCCATTGTCTTGCAGAGTATGTACTTAGCCTGCCATTGCACCAGCATTTTTACCTTTAAAAAACAGCCAAAAGGCCAAGCAGAAATGCGCATATTACTGCTTGGCGGCAGAAATATATAATGTGGCAGTACTTCTCAGGATAGACTCTTTTACAAAGAGCTCTACTGCTGCTAAAAGTTATACTAGGTTGTTAGAATCTCTTGTATTGAAAGACGCTGTCAGAACACCTACTATATGAATTCGCTTTACACGCAAATCCATCACAAAGATTACAGAACGCAGAACGCTTGACCAGCGTTTATTTTCGGAATGAAACGTGTTCGTATCGTCAATAAACGAAAAAAAAACTGTAAAGTATTACGGTTAGATTTGAAATGGCCCATCACGTTGCCCACCCTGTCTGGTCTACTTTAGCAACCAATGGTATTTCATTTTTTTACATCTCAAAATAAGGAAACACTATTATGTTCTAATAGTTTGTTAAAACATAGTCTCACTTGTTGTTACAGTCATCATCAGACGTGTCAATTTTAAACTCTCTTCCAAAATTCACTCGTTTCTTGATGCAAACAAATAAATAATGAAATAGCATACGTACCAAATCTGTGTAAATAAGTTTCCCATGTACAAAACAATCAGTTATCTACCAACCACTGACAACCATTTCTACCTTGTACCACTATGGTACTAAGGTGATCTCGATCATACCTTCAACTACACCATAGTACACTGACTCACCAGGCTTGATGTACATATCGTATTCAGGAAATAAGCTAACTTACTGTGGATTATTCTCATTGAGTTGCGGAACTCCAGCTAGAGTCTTAAACCATTCTGAAACCATTTGAAAGAAATATCCAATATCCATTTGTTTCACATTCAAATCTTTGGTACGATTTCCTTCATCTGATGGTATGTTTGTAGTTAAGATCTGTATCTCATTACTGAGTAGAGCAATTTCTGGTTTTTGTATAATTAATTGACGATCCAAATCTGTTTTTACAATCTGCGATGTTGTCTGCGTATAGCTTTGAGCATTACGTTTAACTCTATGTTTGCCTTTATTGGTACTTGCTGATGCAGTCTCATTTATTTTGTAAAATTTGAGACCTTTATTTGAGCCTATATTTTTATAAGGCATGTTGCTATAGTTGTAATTTGAAAAAGGACCTTTCGATGGATAAATATTGTCCTTATAGTCGGAAAAAACAGTTGATTTAGATGTATAGGAGGTGTTACTCCGTTTACTAAAATTACTTATATTTTTAACTTGTTTGTCTTTGATTTCTTTTTCAATATCAAAGTCAATAGATTTAATGTCTCTTTTACGTCTGAAAACTTCAGTTTTCAAAACCTTACTGCTTTCAAGATAAGATGGCTTGAAACTTATTTTGTTTATCATTTCATTTCTGATTGGCAATATGTGTTTTGTATTTTTGTGATCATATGCAAATTTAAAACTTTCCGATTTAAAATCTTCTGCTAATCTACATCGTTTTAAATCAGTTTTTACGTCGCTGTTGTTTTTATTATATTGCACTGTATGTACAGTTGTATATTCGTTTTTTTTATATGATTTCATTGCAATAGTATTCAAAGCCCTATTTAAAGATTTTAGCCAATTACGTGAATTTCCGTTTTCATCTGGTATTTCATCTTCTGTATAGATTATTACTTCTTCATTATCTTCCTTGCAAGGATGTTTTTGAATATTGTAATTGTTAGAATCTAATAATTCATCTAAATAAACTGCCATAGTATTTTGATTAGACTTTTCTTTAGTTTTGTGAGTAGCATGTACCTTGCTCGTGATTTTATTGTTTACTTTAAAAGTAGTAATAGTAGGAAGTATATTGTTATTATAAACTTCAATACTATCAGTACATTTAACTAAAAACACATATTTCGTTTCAAGAGACACATTTTCGTCCTTTGTAGTTGCTAAAACTGCTTCACTAGATTCAGTTACTGTATTATTATAACCAGTTTTAGTATTTTCAGTATATTTAGTTAAAGAGACGTCTTTAGTTTCAGGAGAAATATCTTTGTATTTTCTACTCAACGCAGCTGGCCAAATAACTTCAGATTCAGTTACTATATCTGTAATATTAGTTTCAAAATTTTCAGTATGTTTAGTTAAAGAAGTATCTTTAGTTTCCAGAGAATCATCTGCATATTCTGTACTTAGTGGAGCTAACCAATCATTTTCATTAATCATATCAGATTGTATAGAATCTGTAATTGGCAATAAAATGTAACTAAAATCACTTTGAGTATTCGTATTTGACTGTACGTCATTTGTTTGCTCTTTATTGCTGGTATTATATTCGTCAAAAGGGATATAACTTGTTTCTGGTTGTTGTAGCAAATTGTATTCTGTGATTGGTTGTGGTAAATCACTATTTTGTTCCTCACTGGTATCAAATTCCATATGTAGTGAATCAGTTTTCAGTTCTTTAGGATTAGTGGCATCATACCCAATATCAAGTTGTTGTAGCATATTTAAATGATTTATGCCGTTCAATGTGTTATTTCGCATTGGTTTCAAGGATGGTTTGAATCGATTAAAGTTTAAATACTTGTATCGATTGTCGATAATCGGCGTTGTATCGTGTACACGGCTCTTTGTACCGTTTTCAGATATTGGATATAATATTATGGTAAGTTGTGTATATCTCGTAGTTTTATCTTTGATTTTTACATGTCTGAAATGAAACGCGATCCAATGTCTTTCACTAAGAAGTATAAACACTAATGATTTTGGAGTTACGTCGAATAGACTTAGTTGTGACTTCACTGCGATATTCCGATAACCAATGGCTTAAGTTTATGCCTGCTATCGGTTACACGCTGTAGTATACGAACTGTTAGTTTTTAGCATATCAACCCGTATTGGACCCTGAGACCTGTTATGAGAACCCAGTACTAGGTTGGTCTTCGGCGTTTCGATCTTGTGATGTCTGTAAGTATTGGACCCTGAGACCTGTTATGAGAACCCAGTACTAGGTTGGTCTTCGGCGTTTCGATCTTGTGATGTCTGTAAAAACGTTGTGATGTGTCACAACACGTTTTGACAGAAATAATACGCCAATAAACAACAATGAACGCCTCAGATAGCAATGTATCCTTGTAATAAGTGTCACAAAGTTTTTAATGGATTGAAGTTGGTAAATAGATGCGCTATCGATAATACAATACGAAAACAGCAAAAAAGTATATGTGGCAATAGCTACCAAACACTTATTAATAGGACTTTATTTTTTGGACAAAATACAGTAACATAAGTAAGGTACAAGACTTTAGGCAACAAAACTGGCAAACTAATGACCAGTCAAGCTGATCATAAATATAATTTGGCAGGAGCAACCTTTTTAGCAAGGCTGTTGTTGGTCGATTATCGATTTTGATTTGATGCTTTCCAATAAAAACGATCGATTATGAGACACAGGCAGGTTATAAATGTAACCAGTTTAGGTTCTAATTCAAGAAGGTGGAACATCTATGTGAAGGAATGCGGTGCTAACAATTTTTCCTAGAAACGAACATGGCTTTATATTTTAGCCTTTAGATGTAATCTACAAACAATAAATTATAATCATTCAACGAAGGCGTGGGCGGTAACTTGTCAAAAAGAGAAGAACTCCTCAAAAAAATTGTCCCAAACAGGGACGTAAAGCTGAGCGTACTCTTAACTGTTACGTGCGAGTTCAAATTGATGGTCATAGACGTCGAGGAAGACCGCGCAAAACGATCAGGCTTTGCCAAGTTCGATCCACAAAGGCACAAAATAGAGTCAAGTAGAAAAACATGGAAAGCGGCTTTTACTCATTAGCGGAAACAATAAATTGATGAATATAAAAGCAAAATTATAGCAGACGTGGAGTCACAACATATCTATTGCGCAGTCTACTTTGCTCAGTAAAAAGATAATAAATAAAAAATAACAGTTAGTATACTGAAGCGTGCCTATAACAATATTCTAAAATTTACTGGTAGTTATTAAAAACTTCTCCAAAGTGGTGTCCATACTTATAAAACTTGTCTTTCAAGTCATGGATCAGTTTCCATAAGAATCCCTTACTGCCATACGGACATCCTGGTTTATATTCAAATCGAATACCCTCGGAGTACTTGCCCTTGTTCTTAAATACTATGTCTATGTCTTCAGGTTTCGGTGAATCGCTTTCGACGGAGAGTGGATCGGATGTAGTGAACGTCGAGTGTTGTGGTGGTGCAGGCACTGTAGGAAAACAAAGGATACGTCAGGGGCAAAAACTGCGCGGAATATATGCATTGAAGCATGGTCGTACAACTAGTTATAAATTTGATCATGCAGAAGATACACCAAAAGTACGTTTACAGGTGGAAGCATATCTACTCAAGAGATACATATACGCAAGACAGGCTTTCGATATGCGAACTCATGTCCCATTCTGTGGTCAATTTGTTGGGGCATCGTATTTTCAGTTCTAATAATAAATAATAAAAAGTGTTTATTTACGTCCACTAAAACCTAGTTTCATCGAGTATGTAGACCAGAAACAGAGACGAAATAAGGGCCGTCCATTCCTGGCAACTCACCAGGCAAATGGGCGTTATATTACTTTTAAATATCAACTCTCATTTGCAGTTACAAATTAGAAAGCTGAAATAGTACAGCGCCAACAAGTGACCTGTGTGTACGTCTCCGTATATTCCAAAAATATTCTGTATTTATTATAATAAAGATAATATTATCTCTAACTATGGGAAGCTGTTCCATTCGATGGTGTGGGAAAAACAGCAAAACATGTAATTACAAAACTAACGGAATCACATTTCATAGGTAATTAAATATAAGGTATGCTATTTCTTCAATTTTCGTTCATTAAGCAAAGCTCTAGTTAAACTAGTCTAGTAGACTAATCCGTCTATAATATAATAAAAGATATAATAAAAGGCCAATCGGAGCACAGTTATCACCGTAATGATTTGGCGGAATAGTTTTCAAACAAATTAAATGACATTTCGTCTCTATTTCTGGTTATATACTCGATGCATAATTTACAGCAAGTTTGCTGGGGAACTCCATTTAAGCAAAATAATTGCTTATGCTAGGAGACCCCGCTGTTACATGTCAGGGTTCTAAGTAGCCAAGTAAGTAACGACTAGTTAAGTTACAGGTACTCTATATTTAAATTACAAAGAAAATAGTATCATTTGGGTGTGTGTATGTGAGTGTTAGACTAGAGCGCCGCGCCGGCGCGTCGCCGCCACCAACAAATGCAATCGGCGCGCCGTTCAGTTCGATCAGGTGCACCGATCACGCGCGCACACGTTTCCGTATTGTATACGTGAAAATAGCGACTCCAGAAAATGACTTTTCTAAGATAAAACTATTTTTTTTATAAAATGTAAGTTCGCATTTGACCTCCATCTCACCTGATGGAAAGTGACGATGAGATCGACGGTTGATGAATGACTATTCACTTTCGCCATGAAAAGGCCCAAGTTATAACGTTCAGGGAACAAGTCTGCAGGCAGGGAATTCCACACCATAGCCGTTCGCCATCTAAATGTGGAACCGTAACGCTTCGTGCGAATTTTTGGAATATCCACAACATAGGGGTGGAACCCAAGTCTACGCCTAGTCCTCCTGTGATGGAAAGGGGAAAGCGGAATTAAATTGTGTAATTCCATCGCACACTCGCCATATATCCTGTAAAATTCCGATAAGCTGGCAACTTTACGGCGGTGTTCAAGGCTCTGCAGCCTATAATAAATAACCTATCAGCTTCTTGGCACGGTTGTCAATTGAATCCAAGGTGGCCAGTGTAGGAGAGCCATTCTAAAGGTGGCAGCAGTACTCCATGCACGACCGGATTTGTGCTTGATACAGCTGAAGCAACTGTCCCGTTGTGTGTGTCCTTTTCTACTGACCCGAGAGATAGGGTTTTCCGGAGAGACTACGGGCTCGACGGCAAGACCAGGGTTCTATGGGCGTCCGGGTCAAACCCTTCGCCAGTGATACGCCTTCACGGGCGTCTCTGGCGGACCCGGACTTGGATATGGACTCGCTGGGCTTTGTGGTTAGCTGCAGAGACGGACTTGTTTGTCTGCCTCGGTTGCATGTGTCCGGGGCGTCTGTCTCGTGAGCAGCTAGCGCGTCTTAGTAGCGGTCTAGTTGAGGGCCTGAAGCGAGGAGACGCGTGGGGCACGTGAGTTGTCCTTTAAGTTGGAAGCTATGTCCGGACATTGTCGCAGGACACTGCGATTGGCATCTCTGGCACTAGCCCAGAGAGCTATTAGAGGATAAGCTAGATATCCTCCGATCCCTTCAGTCGCTTAGGTTATTGGGAACTGGAGAGACGCCGTTTTTCGGCGTCGGGAAGTGACGGCTTAGCGGTGGCAACTGCTAGTTGTGCAATGCATAATGGGAAGTGAGCGTCCCTACACCGGTACCTATCTGGAAAATAGGGAGGGTACTTTACGTGCACCCGGGGCGGTTCACCCGAGGCACTAGCCTCTCGAAGAACCGGATGAAGTCAAGTGACAGAGGTCCGTGAGAACCCTGCACACTGGCTGTTCTGGGGTCAGAACCTGAACTTGTTAGTTTCCTGTGCGCGCACAGGCTATAGTTTGCTTCTCGTATGGGTAAGTAGGGAGGGTCACTATAATCAAAACTAACGTAGAAAGATATGGTGCTTGTCCCGGTGTGAAGTAACGCCTCGACCTGGAAAGGATCCTAAGTTTCCTTGCTGCATGTTTGGTCATGGATTTAACGTATCTGCCGAAGTATAAATTGGACGACAAGTCCATTCCAAGTAGCTGGAGACAGTCGGCTATGGATATATCACGAAAAGTCGGAATAAGCTCAAAGGAACTCCGTTTTGTGGATAAATTTGACAAGATTGGCGTCACCCCAATCGGAGACTGCCTTGAGTGTCAAATCCAAACGGCTAACCATAGACTCTCGACAAGACTGGACTTCCTCTCAACTGACCCTTGCATCGGTCAAGTACCTATCTACAACTGTGTTGTCATCAGCATATGCAAAGGTACCTGGAATTAACATATCATTGATATCCAGTAGAAAGAAAGTTGCAGACAGTACGGAACCCTGAGGGATCTATCGCCATATGTTGGGAAGAGTAGCCTTCTAAGACCCTCGAATCGAACGTTCGCTCAAGAAATCGAAGACCCGTCAAAGGCTTTAGAAATATCCACAGACACTGCAAGTGCTTCACCTCGCATTTCTATAGCCTCGCTCCATGTGTGACATGCATACACAAGAAGATCCCCAGTTGATCGCCTTCTTCGGAATCCGTACTGGCGGTCACTGAGGAGGTCGTTGTCTTCAGGGGACGACAAGAGACGGTTGTTGAGTACACGTTGCATAGTCTTGCAGAGTATGAAAGTGACTGAGATAGGTCTATAGTTGACAGAGTCAGCTCCCTTCCCAGCTTCCCTTTTTCGTCACAGGTTGCACGTTTGCAAGCTTCCACGACCTGGGAACTACACCAGTCTCAAGTGAGAGGCGGTACAGGCGTAGGCGTGTGAGAACAGGAGACAACTCAGGCGCACAGTTACGTAGGACTAGTGGTGGAATTCCATCTGGCCCGCTAGCTTTATTCACGTCTAGATTCTGCAGTGTTCTAAGTACATCTTTTTAGCGTATGCGAATTGGCGCCATAGTGCCGCCAGCCTGAGGTAAGATTAGATCTAGACGCGGACTCTTTGCAAAGAGTGAGGTAAAAAGATTTGCCTTGTCTTCTGCAATGTAGGCCAGCGTTCCGTCCAGCCTCAGCAGAAGTGACATAGATAGGCGACAAAAGTTAGTTAGTGCCTTTATATATAAAGATGTTTTGCTTAAAAAATTTATTTGTCAATTTCTGGCGTCGCCATTTTCACTACGCATACACAATGTGGAAGCGTTCACGTGCCTGCGATCGGAGCGCCTGATCGTACTGATAAAAATTTGATTACTATGAAAAATACGTTATTTTATTTTCTCCTTTCAAAAAGTATTTGTAAAACGGTTTTTGTAAAAACAAACACAGATATACAAATTTGTTTTAGGGTCGCGCTCGCGCCGCTGAAATGCCGCCGCCGCCGACACTTTTTTATCGGCGCGCCGCCGCCGGTTCGTCTATTATCGGCGCTCATGTCCAATGTGTGTGTGCGTGCGTGCGTGCGTGCGTGCGTGCGTGCGTGTGTTAAATCGTCTATTAGCAAAGGTTGTTTTTACAGTATCGTAGGGAATAACAAAATGGAATCTCCATTTTTTTTCACTACGCAACAAGTTTTAGCAGTTAAGGACTTGTTATCTTAAGTCTCGTGTTAATCTTGTTCTACCAATGATTTTCAATTAAAAGTATATGAGATGGAATTATAATTAGTTAACGGGTGCGCGTTTTAAAATATTTTTTAACACGTTCAGCGAATTTTACGAAAATCGTTGCATGTATGTAATATAATGGCGTAATTTTTTTTTATGACATCATGTGACGGGATCAACAAGTCGTGCGCCTGATTATAAGCTACACGCCTATCCATAACAGTGCCACTCAGAGCTTTACATCGTAAAGATCTGAGGGGTACTGCCACTGCGCCCGTCACCCAGAGACATAAGTTGACAAGTCCAATGTACCTGTAATTTCACCAGCACCCTTACCCATCAAAACCAGGACACAGTAATACTGACATTACTGCTTGGCAGCAGAAATAGGTAAGGTGGCAGGATGAACTCTTTCTCAAGGACCTCTACTGCTACTAAATTAGTATATACTTACACTGAAATCCAAATACAACAGGGATTTGTAATTTCATAGAATTATATGACTTATTAATCAAAATTAATAGAATATATAGAACTAAGTAATATTTACGTAATAGTACGGTTAGAGTCCCTACTAACGAGTCAATTGTTGAAACAATTGTTGTCTGAAATTAGGAAAACATTTGACGATATAGAACAAGAGCGCAGGGCTCTAGCCATTCGGTGCAAGATGCTCACGCACAAATTCGCACGGTGTAATAGTAATGTTAGAATAACGTTATTTAGAGCATATTGTTTATGCTTCAATATTGTTTATGCTGCATATTGTTTAACATCAAGTGCAATCCACGACGCCTTCCTAGACCATTCGTGTTGAATGTTTATACTAATAATACTTCTTTTCACAACCCTTTGACGAGAATGTGTCGGGCCTACAACGACCTTATGGCTGATCTCGGCGATGATTTAGAGATGGATATATTTGATAGTAATGTTACAAGACTTCGCAATCGCCTCCACAAGCACCACGATTTCTCTCTTTCATAGTTATAGTCATAGTAATTCTATTTTGTTTAAGGTTACAGTTTTATTATGCCTAAGTACGTTTTATTGATATATTGTAACAAAATTGTTTACTCATGATTGGTAATGCTGTATGTACATGTTTAGGTTTACATTCTAGAGTAGAACTAGTACTTAACAATGTTTAAGCTATTGTTAAGGAGTGAATGTAAACTGTTTTGTACATCTAATAAAGAAAATAATAAATTAGCCGAGGTCAGTTCCTGGTTTTTTTACAATAATAAGGTCTCGCGTCGTCAGCATTTCGAGTCGTCTCCATGCGTCTGACAACAGGATTTTCCGCACTGTCTGCGAGAAAATGCACAATTCCTTTTTTAAATACTGGACTTCCGTGCATCGTGATGGAATTAAGAAATGACATGCTACATTTACAAAGCTACAAGACTGATTATTACAATTTTATAAGCTCATTGTATTGTATTTTAATTTTATGACCATTATTTTATTGCCATTGACCATTATTTGTTATGTTTCTTTATGTAATTGCAGTTTGTATTTGTATTTAATATGAGTAATAATTAATTAATTATTTTGAACAAAAAAGTTTTAATTACTTGGTTTCGTAATTGCGACATGAGGTCTTCCATGTTTGTTCACTTTTGTGTAATATTGTTCTGAAACGTAGAAAGAAGCATATTATAGTTTGTACCCTGAGTTGTCGGTTTCTAAGAGAGTAATCTATCATCGTCATCCAAAATATTACCTACCATAAAAAATCATTTTATGTCTGAGATTCCTACATTAACTGGAAATAGAGATGGTTTCACTTTCCCTTCACGGAGTTATCCACATCATGAAGTAGAAAGTTGGATTATTAAGTCTTGAACTAAAAACTGTGATTACTTTACCGTCCATAATGCTTCGTTTCTTAGTGCTCATTTTGTTGATTTCTTTAGCAGCATCGTTTTTACCTTCTTTACAAACTTTTTTCTCCTCGAGCACTCCATAGTCGCTGTAAGCTTGAGCCATTTTGTCTAATTTATCTCGATTGTTTTCAAGGTAATCTTCCATGTATTGGATATCTGAAACACACATCATAACTATCAAAACTTAACCGTCTAACTTGAACAACTTTTAGAATTTTTAACTTGAAAAGCCTTTAATACTGGCGAAAAAGACACGCACATGTACTACCTGAAATAAAGTAAATGCTTTAAACAGTTTTTCCATCATTTAGTCGCAAGCATTTTTGACTAAAAATAAAGGCTAATTTTTCATGACATTAGGCCTTATTAGCCTTTTTCTGATTTAGACACCGATTGATGATTTGTTCACCGAACAGGATGGCGGTACTAACTCAAAACGTATTTAAGTGACTTGTATCATTCTTTCCCTGGTCTCTTCATATGCAAACAAATCAACGTATAGCGCTTTTTACAGGTCCCATGGTCAGGGTTAAGTATACTCTATTTAAATTCGAAAAAATAATTTCATATCCAAATGTCTAGAGGAACTAGTTTCAGAGTCAAACATAATCGAGGAAACAAAATCTGCTCGACTGCGCTGGCTAGGACATGTGGAAAGAATGGGAGAGGATTGAGCTGCCAAAAGAGCGTATTTGGGGCAACCACGGATCATCGTCAAGTGAACCGTTCAAGATATCGCTGGAAGGATGAAATTGCCAAAGACCTAATGGAACTAAATGTGTCCGAATGGTCGGAATTAGCATAAGACCGACGGAAGTCAAGATCCACTTCGGGTTGCCGAGCCAGCGAAGTAAGTAAGTATTTTGGTAGCAGTAGAGCTCCTTGTGAAAGAGTTCGTCCAGGGTAGTACTGCCACCTTACCTATTTTTGCCACCAAGCAGTAATGTCAGGATTACTATGTTCTGGTTTTGAAGGGTAAGGGTTCTGGTTAAATTACAGGCACATGGGACTTATCAAGTTGTGTATCAGGGTGACGGGCGCAGTGGCAGTGCCCCTCAAATCTTTGCGATTTAAAGCTCTGAGTGGCACTGCAACTGTTATGGACAGGCGTGTAACTTACCATCAGGCGCACGACTGGTTCGTCCCGTCACTTGATAGTATAAAAAAAATACCCAAATGTGTAGCAATTGTGGAAACCTAAAAACACGATTCAGGTATTCGTTTTCGGAATTAAATAGGACTAACTGGTGCCCACGACTTCGTCTGCGTAGAATAAGTACTTCGAGTAGCCTACTGTACTATACAAATTTTCAGTTTTATTTGTTCTAATGTCTGATGTTTCTCCATGCAAACTTTCATAATCTATTTCATTTTCTTACAAGATTTATTTTTGTGAAAACAAAGTAGCCTATGTCCTTTTTCTAGGTCCCATCTATATCTAGCAAAATTCATCACAATTGGTTTAGCGGTTTAGGTCCGAAAACGTAACAGACAGTGTTACTTTCGCATTTATAATACTAGTTTGGATTGTCCTATCTGAAGATGTACTTTAAAGATTTGATCCCACGTAAGATGTCATTAAGGGATTGGACATTGACAAACTATGTCTGCACGAAATACTTCTAATAAAAGAGACTAATAAAGGACAGGGAATAACAGAAAGGTTGAATCATACAAAAAATATCCCAAAATCTAGTTGTATATTTTTTTTACATTAGAGCAGTTACACAAATACCTCCAATTCCACTTTCATCAGCATCACTCTGAACAGTCTTGATTGTCTGCGGTAGTTGAATGCTACCCTGATACGTTGGATTTTCCGGTAACTTTGGCAAGATGTTATTCATCTCGTCGGGATACAACGGCATTGGACCCTTCCAGTTGGGGTTGTACACCCCAGGATTGTTGGTAGTTTTTACTTGAGTATGGAGACGGTCCATCTGTTCCTCTAATACCTGGCGATCGATTATCAAATGTACCAGGTGGTAACGCTGTTATTAATGGTATTCCATTAGAGGGAGTGAGGAGTTTTAAATTCTATATTGTTACGGCTGACCTGAAGGATAATATGAACGTCGATCGGAAACGAAGGGCTCAATCGGTGAGAGCTAACATGATCTTCCGTAAATTCGCGGGTTGTACTAGGGAAGTTAAAATAACATGGTGTAGAGCATATTGTACTTCCCTACATATGTGCAGTTTGTGGAAGTATTAAACACAACGAGCCTATGGGGCCCTCCTGTCTCTATATAATAATGCATCCGTGGTGCTGGTGGGACTCTCCCACTTCTGTAGCACATCGGGGATGTTCATAGAAGCAAGATCGGATTGCTTTTATGCGACCATGCGCAAGCGATACCCCATTCAGCGCTCGATAGCAGATAGGCTCGACTGTTCGTACAATATTATGTAATATATTATTAAGTGGTTTACTAATAATTATATAAATAAATGTTACTTGAATTAAATGAATTAATAATAAAAAAATTATATTGTACATTAAAATTACAAAACAGAACAGTAATGTAAGTATCACAGAGTAAGTCACTGTACAACAGGCGGCCTTATTGCTAATTAGCTATCTCTTCCAAGCGACCTTAGGATAGAAATTTAGGCGTTGGAAAGGGGGGGTGTAACCACAGAATATCTTGTAATGGAAGCGTTTTAAATAAATGCAATACTCATCAATAAAGTCAATATATAAATAATACTAAATACATATATCATTAGAACGTATTCATAAATAATAATATATAATAATAAAGTTACTTATATACTTTAAAGTTTACAATTTTTACTATTTGAAATGGAAATATATCAGCATAGCGCCCTCCTCTCTACGGAAATCTCTACTAAAGTTATAAGTTACTTATAAGTTTCATCTTTGTATTTTTACATTGTGGAATGCAATAAAATTACTGATAACTTTTGTAAGACAATAAATTATATACAATAACAATAAATTTACAAAGGAAGATTATACCACTAAAAAAAAAGGAAATAAAACTAAGAGAATGAAAAGGAAAAACCAGAATAAACAGATAAGGAAATGTTCCTTAACACGTCGTTTGAAGGAATCACGATAAGGTCATCGAATTGATTCAGTTTTCTTGTTTTCTTCTGATTTACTTTCAGCATGTGTATGTGAGTTGAATGACGTAATAAAAAAGTAAATCGAATACCCGATTTAGAATCTCCTCTTGTCGCCTCTTCCTTTCGACTTCTTTGTTGAGCTCTTCGTGGATATCACCAGAGTACACCTCCTTTAAGTCTTCGTATCGTAACCTTTCCTCTGGCTCATCTGTCTGCTGTAGGAGTTTTCTCATTGGTAACCTTAAAAGGAGCTCGTGGGAGTCGAAGTCTTTTTCCGTACTCCTACAATGGAACAAAAAAACGGCTGAAAGTGTAATACAATCATTATCATCACCCATAACTCGACTTGAGCCACTCCTGGGTAAAGCTTTTTCATAATTTGTATGCATTACGATCTTGCGCTAGTCTTACCCAGGATCGATCGAGAGGCACCTATCACACTGAAACAAAGTTGTGCCTGTATTTTTACCCGCACCCCTCCCTACCTTGCAAGATCGAAACCTAGCAATGCTCCCGTTACTACTTAACGTCAAAAATAGTTATAGTGGCAGACAAACCCAGTACCCTTGAAGCAGCTAGTATTGACTGCTTCAAGTTGCGACCACATAGCAAACTACACCAAACCGCTCGAGCTGTTGCGGCTGCTTTGGACGATTTACAGCGCAGTGAAATTTAATTGTGCTCGAGCTGTTGACTGCTCTCGCGCAATGACCTCCGCCCGCGCTCTTCATTCCACGTCACGCGCGCATTTTCGCAGTAGCAAATTCTACGCCGCCGCCGTCGTCGTCTGAGCAAAAGTAGCAGTAGTAGTGCTTCTTCCTCAAATCCATATTGCTACTGATTGGAATGAAATTTAAATTGTGACTTGTTGAGCAGTTGACACCAACTGCTGCTGTTGGTATCAACTACTCCAGCAGTTAACAATGGCAGCCTCAAGTTGTTGACGATAACTGCAAGAGCGGTCCGTGTATGTTGATCATTGGCTAACTGATCGAACAGACCGTGTATGACCACCCTTTCATAAGGAGTTCTACTGCTACGGAGTAGCCACAAGAATAGTTAGTAGAACCAGCACGATTAGCGTGATTTGCCGCCCGTCGGTTTCTTGTATGTCGACGTTACAAACGGCATCCCACAATAGTGTAGTCATCTTGATAGCCATCAATGAGTACATCTTCACTTTAACACAAATTGCTGTCCTATGAACTCTCAGTCTTTTAGCAATAAAGAAGTATAATACTTACGAGAGGGTCGAGTTCTTAGGTTGGATAATTTTTGTAGAAATAGTGTCAACATCAAGAGATTTTCCGGTGATCAGGTCTTGGTTCATTGAAAATCTTTTTTGTTTGTCCTTTTTTAACATTTTAAAAATTTTCGATCTTGATAATTTATTATAGATTTGATCCATCGATGTCGGCAGTAAAACATTGTCTTGTTTCTTTTGCATTGAAGTAGGTTCAGTATCTGTTAGAGATTCCGTTGAGTGTATGGTTTGTTTACGTAATTTGTTGAAATAAGGTTGTATCGTTGACAAATAAATATCAGCACTGAAATCAACTGGATTGGTATCAAGGTCAAATAGAGGCATATTTACTGTTTCCTGGGCTGGTGCGAGATAATCATTATTTAACAAAGAGTCACTGTGAGACGTATGCAGCTTATTTTCAGCTGGTATAAACATTTCTTCGTCGTTATATTTATGCGCACCAATTTCAGATTCTGAGTCTTCTATTCTTTGAGCCCGTATATTATGTATCAATTTCTTCTTTGGATATATTTTTTGGGTTTTAGTATTGTGCGTTACGGATGGCTTGTGTATTTTTTGCGCTTTAAAGTCCTCACGCGTTGGGGCTGTCTTGCATGATTTCGTTTGCTTTGATGTGATTTCTGACGTTTGTTCAAGTTCTTCATCGTCGTTTGTATAATAAATAAATTTATTGTGGTGTTTAGGTTTCGCTTTTACGTTGCCTTTTTTCGCGGCAGCTTTCTCGTCTTCGTTGCTTTTTATCGCGGCGTCTTTCTCGTCTTCGTTGCCTTTTACCGCTTTAAGTTTCTCGTTTTCGTTGTATTTCTCGTTTTTGTTTTTAGTTAATACATATTGCTTTGTTATTCTGTGGTCAATCTCGTAGCGAAGATCATCTACATCATTATCGAATGATGTTTCAGAAAGCGGACTGTTTATTTTATTTTTTGCTATATGTGAACATTTTGGAAATTTGGGACGTCTGTCCATATTGAATGGTGATAATTTGAGAAAAAACCGTTTCCTTTCTATCAATATGGCAGATGCGCTTCTATTTGCTGGTTGGGTAACATCCTCTCTTTTCACTTTGAGACTATTTGGTTTTCCTTTTGGAACATTTGAATATATTTGTTTATGTAATTTGTCTTCTGCTGTCTCTGAAAAAATTTAAAAAAATTGTACCAGTGAAGCAAATATGGAAATCTACGTCGCATCGTACGCAATCATTGTTTTATTAATAATACGAAGATCAAACACAAAGAAAAATCCTTTCATCCGACAGTAAGTCAAACCTACGTCTACATGTCAAACTGTCACGAGTAAGAGGTTTCAAGAGTCACTAACAGGTATCATTTACGGCGATGAAAACTGAAAAAACCCAATACAAAAAGGACTTTAACAAACACGAGAAATTCGTATGATCTGCTGAGATGATCTGTAGCTCAGTTGGCAGAGCGGTGGAGCTAGTTTGTCACACAGACGTATGTTCGAGTCCTGTCAAATCGAAGGAATTTTTCTTTATGTTTGGTCTATAAATTAATAACTATAACAAAGCGGTGAAGTAGTTTCACATAAAATAAACCAATATCATATTATTACAACGTCATGGTATTTAATAGAATCAAGGAAATTTCTTATTTTTGCGGATAGGTCAATTTTAAAGTTACACAAAGGCAAAACCGTGACATCTGGATAATGTCTTTTAAGGAGACAATCCGGGTAGGTTATAGAGGTAAAAAAATCAAATAAAAATGGCAATCATCATATCAATATTGCGTGTATCAAAAAATGTTCAAGATAGCAAGTTCAAAGTTGGAACTCGGCTAAAAATGATCAAAATTTCAAATTGGGTTTTAACTTCATTTTCATATTTTTTAATTATGCCGCCACACGAGAGGTTCTTTAAAGATAAATCCACAAGTCGTCTGCAAGGTGTCAGCTGAACCTGTTCAATCAGTGCACACCGACTTTGCCTCCACCATAATGACCATAGGTGAGCGTCAAGGCGTCAATTATAAGTCATATAGGAAGTGTATTTACATTGTTGTATCCTATTAATACAGTATCATAATTGTCATTATTATCATCGGGTTTAGATCAAAGACCCCTCTGCGGTCCAACGCGGTGCGGGGCTTTCATTAGTTTTCCAACGGTTGTGACCTTCTTCAACTTCCAAATGTTATCCCAATGTTTATCTTTGCCTTTAGCGCACGGTATTGCTATTAGACATTCACAAATAAATATTCATCAATTGAAGTTGTAGCTTCACGCTGACAACCCCTGGCAGGGAAGTAAAGCGACAAACACTCAATCTAAAAGCAACCATTCTCTCACTAGGCCTCTCACCTACCTCGCACCTCTAAAGAATTATGGCGACATCCCATGTATTTTGTGACCCAGTGTTTTTGACGACGTGCGTTTATGAGACCTGTCAATACTTATGATTCATTACCACAAGACCAAAAAGCTAATTGTGTACAGCCTGTAGAAGGTGGGGTTATTAAGTTGATATAGGTTATGTTTCCAACATTGTCCTGTATTAGCTTTTATTTTTTATTTCGCTTTA